TTTTCACTCTCCTGGACTATTATAAATCCTGCCTTTTCCCTGGACAAAAAGATGGATTGCAAATAGTATCTGTGGGTGAAAAATGCAAGACTGAAGGTCATGGAACATGTTCTGCTTTTTATCAGCTTATTATGCAAGTTTTATATTTAGGTTTGTGCTGGTTGTATGCCTGGGAAAGATACATTTTATAAATAAAATAATCAGAACCCCCCCCAACATATTGCAATATATCTTCACCTGTTATATTCAGGCAAACTTTCCGGAGGAACAAATTCTCACATTCTCAGTGGATTTTAAGAAGTTGACTTTGACCTTTAAAACCAATCTTAGCTGTAAAGAAATGTCGAAGCTAGACACATTAAAGACTGAGGTGGTCAGATATTGTAGTTACCAGACTGACTGGTACAATATATAGGTATCAGAAACCAATAGGATTTTCCTCTTTCTTTTCAGATCATACTGGTTTACATTGCCTGAATTCTTGCTATAAAATTTAACTGGAGATAAAGCTTAGTCAAAAATCACTCTTATCAGAATGAATTCCAAGTGGTTTAGAAGATGATTTCGTATCCAAGTGCCTCCATTTCATCAAGCACTCTTTTCCAGAAGTAAGAGACTGAATTTTAAGTTAATTAAAAACACCAAACAAGATTCCAATGGGTTTGATTTTCTTTCACAAGGCTTGGTCTGCACTTCACAGTTTCTGGTACTTCCCCCTACAAAAGCAATGTGTCACATCCCTGTTGTCATGCTGAACTGAGGGACTGGATAAGCAAAGCCTTGCAGTTACAAAGGGGTGGTCAACTAATCCCTAGTTCTAGCTGTATGATCCTACTTGATTTACCAATGGCTGCTCCCTTAGATATCTGCTCAACCTGTTCGAATCAGCTCATTGGAAACCTAATTCTTGGCATACTATTAAAAACCAAACCAAACCAAACCAAACCAAAAACAAAAGGAAGAAGCAGAAGAGTGGAAGAAAAATGATCAAAGGCAAAATATCTGTTCTGTACTAGTTAATTGAGCTTTTATCTTGCATTTTGTCACTGTATACCTCTCATAATTACTCCCATTTTCTTTTTCTTCTTCTTTTATTTTTACAGGGGCTGTGCACATTGATCCAGAGGATCTCTCTTTTGGATGCCATTAAGAAAGTATTACCTGCTCATTCTGACAGCTGATCTATGACAAGAAATCAGCTGTTACTGTTCTTCTCTCTTCCCGTCAGGTTCAGAGGGAAATGTGTCACTTGAAACATCCTCATTTCAAATTTCAGGATTTTCCTTTATACCTGACATTATCACACACATTCTTGCCCTCCAAAAGAAGAAAAAAATCCCAGGCTTATTTTTAACATCTTTCATCCAGCCTACGCTTCAATAAAGATGAAATATTGTCTCTTCAACTTTTATGCCTGGAACACATCTATACAACAGGAGGGTGCAGTAACAGAGGTGCTACAGCAAGGAGGTTAAATACCCACAGATGTGTCATGCCATGGTTAAGGCATCCCACACTTCTTTTTACATGGGGATGTTCCTAAAGGAGTATCTTGTACTTTGGGAACACTCTTATCTATGAATTAATCCTCTCTTATACCACATCCTGTAATTTGTCTTTCCATGCTTTCCATTTCTTCTGCTGAAAGAGTTTCCTTGAGAATCACAGTAAGTCTTGTTTCTTTACTGCTTATCAAGGCCACTCTCTCTCTTGGAAGCAAAATACCATGGCAAAATTCTCCAACTCATTCACTTTTAGATCCAAGATCCACGTGGGCATCGATTTCCAAACAGAAAACCTCCTTTAAAGCATGTTTCTTAAGCCCCTGGACTGACACTGGGAAATCATAGGCTGCTCAGCACAGCCTCCTGGCTTCTCTCCAGATTTCAGCTACATCTTGCAATTGTAGGGCCTCCAGAGCAGCCACGTCCATGCAGTCACACTCCTTCCCATCTCTAGCTCTGTGCAACAAGCCCACCCCATCGGGTCCTCATTCACTTCAGTGTGACATCCCTCCCTAGACATTCTGACACCTCAGGCTTCATCTCTGTCTATCAGGGAAGACTTCAAAGCAGTGCTGGGATCAGGGTTCATAACCTTCTCTGGATAAATAAAAGAAGACTTGAAGCGCAGCTTGAGAGGAATGATGCAAAGCAACTGATTGCATTTTGTCAAGGAGAATGAACTATGCACAGGCTATCCAATATACAAATCACTTGAAACAATTTGCAAGGCATATTGACTCCATGTTCTTTTAGGAGGCGCCCTGAAGGATTTTAGGGAGAAACTTATAGAGGTATTGTACCTATCAGGAAACAAAGCACTGACTGATACACCAAAAGACTACAAAAGAAATATGAGCACTTCCTTACTGGAGAGAATTTGTTTCCTTTTCCTGAAATGCAGAAATTTCAACATGCAAAAGGATTTCTAGAGCACAAGCAAAGCCAACAACAGTAGGGTAGCTTAATCACTACTTCAGAATCATGGAATCCATCACGGAAAGAAGTACTGTTATACAAAAGAGCAGAAAAGAAAAATGTTGCAGAAAAGGAAGAGGAACACATAAAACTAAATATTAGCTGTATACACTAGTTCATTGATGAGTTCCAGCAATTAACACACAGCAACACCAGAGAGGATTCCTCCTCTATAGCCAGTCTTGAGAATATCATGACCGTATCATGACCAGATCACACAATTATCCCTTGTGCCTGGATAAGATAGGGCAAGAGCAATGAGAAATATCCTGAAGGATGCCAAGATGTTCAAAGGATGTTTGCCACTTTGTCAAATGGAAAGCAGCAGAGGCAAAAGGTCAGGGGATACAAGCCAGATCTGAGATAGCTGGGAAAAAAGGCTGGTATTAAGTTTCTCAATGATCCTTCTGATGCCATGTGCTTACAAAAATAATAACCCAAATTCCTTGGAAAAAATTCCCTTGACTTCATGCCAATTCGCATTAATGACATTAAATCTTGTTTTGAAAACAAGGAGGTTATATAGGGTAAGGGCATAAACTGAATCCCCATTCAAGGAGATGTTTACAGTTCTCCAGAATAGCAAAAATACAGCTTTTACTCTTTAACTTGACATTAATGCTAAACTATTCCTCTTTCCACACTATTACAACTAGTTTTGTTATTAATAGTAACAGTGACTGGTAGTGCAGTAGTGCCTTGAGATCTTAATTGAGATCAGTCCTATTGTGCTACTTACCTCACAAACACCTAAGAATATGAAATTTGCAGACTCCTCCTGCCCGCTAGCTCAGCTCTCAGAAGACAAAGCAATCAAGTGACAGGAGAAGATCAGAACACCTGAAAGATGGGAAGGGAATCAGGCAAAGTCACATCTCATAGTCGGAAGGAAAAGCAAAATAAGGAGCTGGGCTAGATGCTTGCCTGTGCCAGCCCGCGTGAACAGCAGCCCTTGAGCCCCAGTTAATTCACAGTGGCACCCTGTTGATACTTTTCCAGAGACCTGACTCTGATGAGGCTGGGTCTTTCAAAGCAAAACTTGCACAGAATTGCCAGATTTCCTGGCCATGCTTTCATTTTGTGATGTGGGCATTTACTGGCTTCCAACAAGCAGCACAGGTCACCTAAACAACCTGATTAAATCTTTACACTGATGCCTGGTAGAACATCGCTCTTCCCCTCTACTCTGTTCTGGTGAGACACCCCCCCCCACACACACATAGTCCTGCACCCAGCTCTAGGGCCTCCAACAGAAGAGGGACATGGAGCTGTTGGAGCAAGTCCTGAGGAGGCCACAGAGATGCTCTGAGGGCTGGCAAACCTCTGCTCTGGAGACAGGCTGAGAGAGCTGGGCTGGTTCAGTCTGGAGAAGGCTCCAGGGAGACCTTAGAGCAGCTTCCAGTGCCTAAAAGGGCTAGAAGCAAGCTCAGGAGGGGCTTTTGACACGGGTCTGTAGGGACAGGACAAGGGGGGATGGCTTTAACCTGACAGAGGGGAGATTGAGATGAGACATTGGGAAAAAATTCTTCCCTGTAAGAGTGCTGAGGCTCTGACACACGGTTCAAGGCCAGGTTGGATGGGGACTGGAGCAACCTGGTCTAGTGGAAGGTGTCCCTGCCTGTGGCAGGGCATTGGAACTGGATGAACTTTCCAATCCAAACCAGTCTGTGATTCTAGGAATGTGAGCTTTAACAGTTAACGAGAACAGCTGTCTGTTTTAATCCATGCATCCTCAGTTCTCTCCTGTTATAGGCAAGCAACTTTGACACAGCCAAGCAACTTTGTCTCCTCAGCTCCAGCTGAAAGCAACGAATGCCCAGTGAGAAATACAAAAGTATGCTTGATTGGAGAAGCTACAGCCCAAACATCAGTCTCTCATCTGAAGGGATTGCAAGGCACTTTCCAAGACCAGTGAAAAGCTCCACTCAGCTGTGGGAGGCTGGGAGATGGCAGCCGGGCTGACAACTGGCACATCCTCACTGCAGAAGGATGGGCAGGTGGAAATTTCAGTCAAGGATATGAAAACAAATCCTTGTTGCTACCAAGAGTCATAAAATCTGAAGCGAATCAAGGGAGAACAAACAGGGTTTGTGCTCTTTTTTAATCCCCCGAGAGAATTTCAGCTGCTTCTTGCCTACAAAATACATGAAAATAAACTTGAACACTCTGGAACAAGTTAAAATAGATACATTTCAGAGAACCTAAATGCTACAATATTGTAAATCCCTTCCCCACCCCACCCCCCCCCCCCAAAAAAAGGGGAGAACTGTGAAATTTTAAAGAGGAGTCAATTATTTTTCCTTTGGCACGCTGCACTCACAGTTTCTAATTCCTCAACTGCAGATATCAGAACTTTTTCTTCTAGAAAGCAGCATTTTAACATGATTAAATGATTGTTGAAGCGAGAAGCTTAATAAAAACACCAACAATGAGACACCAATACTGGTACTGCAAAAAACACTAAGCCATTTCATCCGACTGTGCAGCGTAAGAAACAAAGGCCTCTGAACTGCTAACAAGTTAAACCACAAATTGTAGGTTTTACTATTTAATATAATATACCACAAGAAAATTTATCACAACCAATTAGAGCTGGCATAAATGTGTGCTTGGCTTCCACTGCATAAAGCCCAAGTGCACCCCTGAGAGGGGAAATCCTTGTGCCTGTGGAAAATAACTGCGAACTTTGCCCTATGGTGAGTTTGCAAGAGGCTGACACAGGAAAAAAGAAGTGACTGGAAAGGATCTGACTGGAAACACAATAGCAGACTTAAAAGGCTTTGATAAATGAAAAGTCATTCCAAGATTAGGGTCTCATTCAAAAAAATAACAAAGACATTTTCTGGTATGTGGCTGAAAACAGATTCCATATGAAAACGCTTAGCAGAGCTTATCAATATTTTTCATTCCCAGCCCTCTTTGAATAAATGCAGTGTTTCCAAGAACAAAAATGGCATTTTTAAAACTTCCTGAAATGTAGATGCAAAAGCTACACAATTAATGTTTTCATTTTTCAAACCAATGATGCAGATTTAAGCTTTTGATGTTGCAATTCCTCCACGCTTTTTTTCCTTCCATCTGATTCTACCCTGCCCTCACTTCTCATAAAAATACTACAAGCAAGGAAAAAGCAAACAACTTTCCTTGCCTGAAAACTGGACTGAGTTAGACTCAGTCGATTCAAATGTTCCAGAAGCTTTGTGGAAAATTTAGAGAAAGCACCAAGCTTTTTCAGACACCAATGAACCTTTAAATCTCTCTTCTCAGGACACATCTAAGATTTTGACCTCTGTAAAGGACTGTTGCAGATGGAATTTGTTTTCCTTTTCTAGGAAAAATACCCTGACAGAATGAAGCTGAATCAATTTCAAGAAGACAAAGCAAATAAGTGAAAACTCAAAGTTGTCTCAGGTGCCTGACATCTGTTCATGGTACAGCACATACAAATTAATAATTCATTTGTTTAACACTAAAAACACACCTGGGAAAAAGCTATTTGTTGGCACATTAGATATTAAAGCCTTGCAGCACAGCCTTAAACTGCTTGTAAGTACAGGTTTACCACCACCACGTTTCTTAGAGTCCATTAACCTGGGAGCAGAGATGGTTATAAATGGCACAAAGGCACTCTCTCATTTCACGATTCTCAGCCCAAAAACTACTACCCACTCTCTCTAGAGCAATCTTCCTCTTAAAGTCACTGCAGTCCAAACGGGTAAGAGATGCTGCTGTCTAAGCTTTTTAAACTCCCATACTTCCCTTCCAAAATAAACACCAGTTGAAATCTGCCAGCCTGGGCCACTCACACCCTGGCAAGAGGAAGGCAGAAGACCATGTAGGAGAGCACCACCTAGTGACTAACACCACAACAGTATCACTGGTGGAAACCACATAAAGAAAAACAAACACCAAAGTTTTAATAGCAGTGTGCCACGTCCAGTTTATTTTCCTATTTTTTTTCCCTCGGAGATGTCTCATTTTGACCAAATGTTAAGTCAAGAGGCGATGTCGTACAAGTTCAAAACACTGAGTTTTGGTAAAATACATCTTTTATGTTTTAAACCAGGTAAGTCTTCTATTAGAATTTGTACTTCAAATACGCAGTGTATGAAACTGGGAATCCAAACCACCAAAAACTCAATTCTGCAACCATGACTCAAGTGAATAATCATGAGACATCTGTGGGACTACTTCCAGAAGTAGGAAAAAGCAGCATATGTCTCAAAGTGCTTAGAGCAGTGCAATTCTGCCAATTTTATCATGACTCCCCGATCTGCTGGTTGAAGCTGCAGCTTCTGGAGTCAAGTGCTTCCATGTGAATCTGAATTTTAGCCTTAAAAGAAAAACAAATTTCTAACTCTGAAGTTCAGAGAAAAAAAAAAAAAAACTTGGGGAAGTGTAAGACACATAAACTCCCAAAACTAGAATCATCATGAGAAATAACACAGCCTATTTATAATCTGTTTGGATGCCACAGAGAAAGCATGGGCATGGTGTCTGGAGATAATACTGAGAGCACTCGCTAAACCTCACCATTGGGTCCAGCAGCTGAGGAAATCAGCCTTTCAGGAAAGGCTACCACACCCAAACTCTACTGGCTTGCTCTTCTGCTATTTCTGAACAACCCCATGCGAAAGGCTGGAAAAACAGTTCTGCATTATTCTGTAGAGGTGAGGGGATACCAACAAATCCTATTTACCTTCACAGATCAAATGTGGCAACTGCAGGTAATTACAGTTGTATGGACTCATACAACTTTTAACTACAATGCATCTTCTTCAGCAGAGAAGTAGCCTAAGCACATGTATGGCTGCAACATCACCATGTACTGTATTACTCTTCTTTGTCCTTCCATTAAAAGAGGTAAACTAACAAGCAAATCTAATTATATGCCTTGTTTCTTCTCATTTCCACAATGATCCCAAGTCTTCTGGGATAATGGAATGAGGCAACCTGAAGTAGCAAACATTGCCTCTCCATTGTCCGAAGTCCAGCAGGTCATATGGTTGTAATATGCAATGGGAAACTTGTTTTACTGTGTTTCTGTTGGTTTTCACCATTATGTGAATGTTTTGTAGCTGTTTATGCCAGTTTGCATCCTTCAGCTGCAATTCAGCATGGCATCTAGACTGCATTTCCAAACAAAGGACTTCAGCCCATGGCAGCTCTCAAGGTTTGCTCTTGTGGGGGGAAGTCAGGTCTTCCTCCTGGTTGCTTTTGAAAGCATCTTTCTTTGCCACACTTTCCATCTGCACTCTCTTTTGTTTGCCATTAAGGTCAAGTCTGTGATTTCTGCCCACTCTGCCCGTGGTGTTAGTGGCACCTGGAAGTGAAACTTCAGCTAGGAAACATTTGGTGAATTTTTAAATAGCACTATTGATTTCACATTAATTTTCTTTACAAACCAGGAAAAGCTCTTAGGAGAGGTTGTAACAGCCAAGAAATATTTGACAGGTTGTTTAAAATCTACTGCCTGTAAACAGTATGATTTATTTTCCTTGTTTTTAAGTATATTCTTTAAACATACCTTATCTTTACTGATTAGTATTGTCCACCCTGAAGCTCATGGCACAAAATTGATCACATATTACCTGTAGCAGAGATAAACTTCTTATACAGAAAGTCTGGGTATTTTGCCAAAGCTTTTTTTTTATCTTTCTTTCAATGGCACATAATCAGAACATAATAATTTTGCCTCTGGACCAGCCAACACCACTTCTGTAGCTTCTTTAAAGGCATCAAACCTGTAGAAGGGCAGATTCTTTCTAGCGAAACTTCTTGCCTGTGAAGTCAGTTTATTTCACATCCCATAAGTCTCCTTTTGGATACAGATTGACTGCTCTTTAGTGAATAACTTTTTAGTCATTCTTTGGCCTCAGAAAATTACCTTTGAAAAGTTTTATGCAAGAGTATTCATTATGAACAATTAATGTACTGAAAACATCAGCACCTCAAGAAGGCATTATATAAAAGATGAGTAAATTTACATTCACACATCAAACTTCCTGTACTTTTCATTCTTCTAAAATGTATGCCTTACACTGTAGTACAATAGCTCGTATGAATTTGATGACCCAAGTTGAACAATGTCAAAACTTGCCATAACTGTTTCAGAAAAGGAAAGCAATCACATAAGGTTTTTTCCCCTACCACCATTTTTAGGCAAGGCATCTGGCAGCTTGATAGTAATTCAAAGTACTTAGACTGGAGCATCTCTTTACATATTTTTTAGTCAGAAGCAAAAAAAAAAAATGGTTAAGAGGAAAATGCAGAAACATTCACGCAAAGTGAGAGAAGTCTTCTGTATCAATTGGGGGGTGAAAGGGTTGCTTGTACCCACTTAGCCTGACAGTTGAGTTTTATGATGTGGAATAATCCAAATACAAACCTCTTCAACTCCTCCCCTTGATATGTGAATCTTTGATTGCTTCCCTTCATTTAGTGAGGTTTAAGTCTTAAAAATACTTCATATTTCATACTACAGTGTAAAGGCTCCAGGAAGTATGTTAATAATACTGCCAGCTAATTAAACTGGAGCAGCAGATTTTAATCTAATTTGTAGTAACATGTAAAGTAACAGCATGGGCCACTTCAGTTGGTCTGCACTGCTGGCAGGGAGATTAGAGCATAGGTCACTGTACATGACTTGCTGCAGTGACAGGTAGAACATACCTCACTTGCCATGTCACAGCACCACACCTAGGAGAAAACAAGCAGAGAAGTTCAATGGCTGGTTCCTCCTCAGCAAGAACAAAGTCCACCAATAAACAGAAGAACCTCCAGCTCTGAGCTCTCCCACTCATCCATCAACTTCCTGCTCTGGTTTACTGCAGTCACTCTTCCAGAACACAATACAAGCATCACATTTTTAATTTTTTAAGGGGAGAGGCATAAGAAGGCTTGTGCTCATGAGAAAAAGGTTTGTTGATTGGGCTTGATTAATTTTTGGCTGACAGATTATTGTGAAGTTTAATACTGAATTAATAGTATTAATTTTAGACAAAAGTCATTAGAGTACAGACAGATTAGAGAAATAAAATGCCAGCTGTGTTTCTCTCATACACTACAATGAGGAAAACATTGTTGGAATAGATCTGTATTTCAACTCAATTATATTTGGCAGGTCAATTAGAACTGCTCATTAACTAATACAAATATTTCTTCTTTGAGTGTGCTATAATAATGGATCTTTTCAATTTTCATCTCACAATATGAGTGACGAACAGGATGATTCTAATTAAAACCAACACCAAGCATTCCATTCCCCAATCATCATCATCTTATGTTCCTTCACTGACTACTCTTCCACACGCCCCAAAAATTTGACTCCTAAGTCAGACTGCTACCTTCTTTCTCCCATACCTCACAGGTTGAGCATGGAAATAATATTTCTACATAGTCCAACAGTGTCTTGCAACATAACATAGCTGTCAAGACAGCCAGCCAGGATGCCGAAACTCTGTGACTGGGATACGCACCCAGACATGTTCAGAGCTAGATCCCAGCACTGCGCTGCCACAACCAGCACTGCCAAACGTTGGTTGCTGCAAATAACATCATGTTGGCATGGAGTTTTACTACAGAAAACTGAATCTCTTCCTTCACTTACTACTAATAAAATGCCTAACTCCTTTTCTTTTTTTTTTTGTTGTGATCAGATATGCTAATCCATACTGAAAGTTGTTCACACAAGTAGTGATATCAACAGAGATGTAAGTCTAAGAAACCCCCAACCTGCATCAAAATGAGCCTGGTTTTGCCAGGCAACAATACAAGTCATTCACTGAATTACACACAGCAATATGATCACCAGTTTGATAAAAAAGGAAGACAAAGATCAGCTGTTAAGAAGCAAAGATTATAAAACAAACAATAAAAGCTGAACTTATTAACCTCTAGACAGCTAGCCTACCTATCTGAAACATGCACTTGCAACAACTGTCAATAGCTTAGAGCACAGAGACATTGCTTCCCTTTGTCCCATTCCTAATAGGAAAATTCTCTAAAATATCAGGCTGGTCTTGTCTTACACAAGTTTTCCTTCTAATCATTGGCTGAGCCTTGGAAACACATAATCTTCATTCTCCATTTTCCTCTTCTGCTTTGCTGTAAAGAAAGTCATAAAAACTTAAGCTGAGGACCAAGAATATACAAGACTTTCAGTGACAGTAAACAGGAGTTGCTAGTAATAGACACAGACAAGTAGAGAAAAAAAGACTCATATATTTAAACTAGCTGTTTTGTAATGTGTCCTTACAATAAATACGTATTCACCTATCCTATACAAATTTGAGAACTAGATCACACTGATGCTCATCACCAACAGTCAGTGGAGAGGATTTTACAGTGCTATTGATTTCATTTAAACATAATCTTTTGAACAGATCTGTTCTCTATCTCTGCTTGTCAGCATAAAACTGATGAGATCAAGACATTAATTTTTAGGCAACTGGGAGAGGAGAGCATTTCCATACACAGCACAGTTACCCTTTATCAGTTAATTTGTGTGAATTCTTGGTTTTCTGTCCTTTGCATAATGAAAAGGTCACGTATCTTTCGGTATTTATGTTGACAAACTGGGTAATACATGGTCAAGACTGGAGAATACATACCTATAGGGCATATACCACACACTCGGCTAACGCAAGCATTCAGTTCCCTTCAACTGCCAAATCCTCAAGTCTTCCTTAAGGAAGCAGCCTACCACTCCACCACTCCCCTTTGCAAGCATCAACCCATCATCTCCAGATTAGCTAGTTAGTGACAAATACATATTGAAGACTCTTTACAAAGATTGCCATCCTGAAAGTGAAGCAAATCAATATTCCATATAAAACAGACTTTACTCAAAGTCCTGGAGTCTCAAGATGGACAGGGATTAGATTAGATGGATTGAGACGGACTATGCTTCAACGAGCAATGCCGCAGTGAAAGGCATTGAGGACAGTACGACAGCTGACCTACTGAGGACAAGAGAACAGGGTTCAGATCTCACCAGAGAAACAGGGTCATTGTGGAGACAAAACTGTCACAACCAAGCCTTTAACTGATGTGATAATGATAGGATAGGAAAGTGATCTAGAATAACCTAGGATGACAGCCAAGCAAAGATTCAAAAGCAGACACCTGCAGCGTGCTACCCTGAAAATCTATTCTGTCAGCTGTCCTTAGCAAAGTATTTTCTGGCACCAATTAGCTGACCCTGCTAGCTGGGGTGTAGGAATGGTTACATGTAAAATGGAGAACAAATAGAAGCAAAAATGTCCCCACCGTGTGGATAACTGGAAAAAACCATGCAGCACTGGAGAGTAATCCATAGATATTGACCTGTAAGACATTCCTTGTCTATTTATATGCCACTTGCCTTCACTGTGGTAGTCCAAAGCTCCGTGAAGCCAACAACCAACATCACCACCACGTGGCAGTGAAGAGAAATGAACTGCTTAAAGTCATTAAGAGTCTCTACTTGTGTGATCCCAAGTTGGTCATTGAAGTACATACTGCCACCTGCTTCAACAGATAGCTCAATCAAGAAACCTAATGTGGTGCTTCAGCAGCAGCAAAACATGCTTCAGCATAGCAGCTATTGCTGAGAGCATTCCAGTAAAACATATCTAATTAAGATGGTTTTCACCTGAAGGCCCAGGTAAATGCTGAAGACATGCTTCCACAATCACAGTAAGCCAATCTGTATGCAATTCCGATTCCTTCAGCACACCGAGGCAATCTTTTCCCACCACTTTTCTGTGCTAACACTTGTACATGTGCCTGAAAAATAGCTGTGCTTTCAGCTGGATTAGTCTGCAGTCAGATTACCTTCTTGATCAGCCTAACTGTGCTGCTGCATAAATGCTAGCTGACACAACAGAGGACAGGGTAAAGGCAGCAAGAAGATCCCTGGGAAGAGCAGGATTGCTTCTTAATAGCAATGACAATTTAGACCCTAACTACAAAACACTTCTCAAGACATTCAAAAACCCTTTCTAGGGAAATCTTTCAATCACAAGGACAACTACGCATTTTCCACACACTCATTAGATAAACCATGACTGAGAAATCTGAGACTGAGATGGAGAAAATGGACCTAAACCCCTCTCTTCTAGCTGCCCAACCTAGAAGGAGCACACTGGCAAGACACATGCATATGACATGCTACACTTTGTTCTGCGTTAAGCTCATGGAAATGAGATTTCACAACCTTTCTGTATTTAAATAACTCATCTGTAGAACAGGATATAGGTTTGGAGCAGGACATTTTAAAAGGCATTAGTCTACCAGACAGCAAAGCAAAAGCACTGTAGTATTCCTCATATTTTCCCTTTTTAGTGTTAAGAACTCTTTCCCACCAGTCAACACAATCACCTGTTAGTAGGGTAAAACTGTCAGATAATACAACTAGCTCCTACACCCACCTGCTCTCACAATTTGAAGTGAAGGCAATTGTACCACATGTAGTCACATGCTTATGGAGAGACTACAGACACTTTCAGTTTCTCATCTCCAGGACCAAAAGAAATACCACTTCTCACTGCCAACCCTCCTCTGTATGGAGATACTGAATCCCATTAAGAAGCACCCTTTGGATGCTCTACAATGCTGCCAAGTTTGACACATCGAAAACGAAGACTGGGATTTCTCATGCTCATTTCAGATTTAGCTGCTCATCATGAAGGTGAAGCAAAGTGTCCTTATCTGCTCCTGCCAATCTATGCCTGTCTTGGATTAGCATCAAGGAACATGAGAGCTTTGTAAAAATGGGAAGCTCAGAATCCCACTGAGATTTTGAAGGAAGAACCAAAATCTTCACTGAAGAAGCCATTTTTCTCTCTTTGCTAGGTCTAAATCTGGACGCCGGCCCTCATACAACTCCAGCCTCTTGGTATTAAACAGATGATTTTTCCGGTTGGTGGTATTGGATGTACTTCTTGTAAACCTCTCTCACTAGGGGCCTCAATTCAAAGATTTGCTCAGGCTGTATCCTCTCCAAGTCAATATAATCAACACACACCAGCCGTATCTGGGGGCAGGAAGCCCCAGCTCTAGAAACAGAACTTGTCATATGGACACACTGCTGATGCAATGAGCAAAACAAAAAGTAGACTCCAAGAAACAAAAATTGAGCCCAAGACAAACTTGAAACTAGAAACTAACAGAAACCAGAAACTAACTAACTTGGGAAATTTCCTAAATCTGAGCCACAGATTTGAGAGGAACTACAAGTGTATAGCCCAAGCTCTTTAAATCTCTGTACAGTCATGTTTGAAAAGGAGTCATGAGAAACAAACCTTTAGTGAATGACAACCACTGAGCCAAAATTATTTCATTATTATGTCTAGACAGATCATTCAGGAGAATCATGCTATTTTGCCAGGTCCCCAATAAAATGGTGTGATTTATACCTAACACACTTTAATTCATTTTAGCAATGAAGCTTTGCATCAAGGAATAGGACTTGTTTGGGCTGAAAGGGACCTTAAAGCTCATCCAGTTCCAACCCCCTGCCATGGACAGGGACACCTTAGAATCACAGGATAGTTAGGGCTGGAAAAGACCTTAAGATCATCCAGTTCCAACACCCCTGCCATGGGAAGGGACATCTCACACTAAACCATGTCACTCAAGGCTCTGTCTAACTCTCCACTAGACCAGGTTGCTCCAAGCCTCATTCAACCTGGCCTTTTAACACTGCCAGGGATGGGGCAGCCACAGCTTCTCTGGGCACCCTGTGCCAGCGCCTCATCACTCTCATAGTAAAGAATTTCTTCTTAATGTCTAATCTAAATCTCCTCTCTGCCAGTTTAAAGTCATTTCCCCTTGTCCTGTCACTACACATCTAAATTCAGTACAAGAGGACCAAGCCTGACAACTTCACTGGAGGACAGTGGGAATCAGTATCCCAGTATCACTGGGAAAACAAGACTGAAAATATACAGTTCCACCTTCACGTCACAGATGGCATCCACACTAGCTCCTCAACATAAATACCTGTTATTGACCACAGGATGGTCTGCACAGTGACATCTCTGCCCCAGTGCTGTCTTAAAATTGTCATTCAGGTTTCATCTCTACTATAAGCTGTTGCTCCTATCACTCTGAGCTCCAGCCCTCTCAACACTCCTGATTTATAACCAGGATTGAACATATAATTTTCTCAAAATTTCATTGACACAAGGGTAGCTGCTGACCCCATTTCCCACATGCTCCCATGTACAGCACATCAAGCTGCACAAGTGAGTGTGGTACCAAGCCCTGCTGCAAGCCTTCTTCTGACTCTCAGGTCCCAAGAGGGTTAGACCCTGTGAGACAGCCCTGCAGCAGCCACAGCTCTGTGGTAACAGCCCTGTTGTGACAGCCCACAGGACCACACTCCCCACACCAGCTTCCCGCCTTGCCAGGCACCCAACTATACAAAACTGGGTGCTTTTCCCATCAGTTAACATCCCTCAGATGGAAAGAACTTCATATACCCTCTCCCTCCTCTGAAGATACTCCCCTAAAAATCTAGAAGGCAGGTGATGCGCATATATATCCACCTGGTTTACACAAGGACAGACAATAATGCCTTAAAACTCGGACAGCATTCCTTCAGGGCTTTTTTTTCTAGCAGTTAGCTTCATTTAAAAGAAAAAAACCTGAGAAATAAAGTACCATTTGGGTTTCCAGAGAGCTTTTGTTAGGGCAGAATCAAAATTAACATGTTAGATAAACATGCTGTAATAGTCATGTGTACTTACAGGAAACAACACACCTCTCCCCACCCTGAGGTCCTTCTTTGTGCAGAAACCAGGTTGGTAGAGCAACAGAAAACATCCCAGCCACAGACATTCACCCAAAAGGCAACCCACTAAGGTCATCTAGCATCAAGCTAAATTTCAAGAGACATGGATCCCAGGTAAATGAAGGGGAGATTCAAGTCTTTTCTGTAAGAGTGGGAAGATTTAGCTGCATTATATGGGATGTAAAACACACGTAAGGAAGTCAGGGTCAGAGAAATCATAACAAAATGGCATTAATATTTGTGAGCTGCAGAGTAAGCAGGTTCAACCAGTTTTAGATACTGCTATTTCTGAAAGGCTCACTTCTAAGCTTGAGAAACAACCCTCCAGGTTTGAGATTTTAAAGTCAGTAGTCCACACTGGATTCAGTTCTGAATCTTCAATGCAGTATTCTTAGTCCACAGATATCTTAACAGCTTAAAAGATGGTCAGAAATAATATGCAAAAGTCTTATGCTTCTGATAGCAGTAATGTCACAGTGGAGAAAGAATTAGATAAGGACTCCTGTACCCTGAGTTCTATTCCTGGCCCTGTCAATAGCCTGTAAATGCTCTTGGGCAAGTAATTTCAGCCCTTTTTGCTTCACTTTCATCTGTAAGAAGAGGGAGAGACATGTGGCTCCTTTGCAAAGCCACAAGAACTGATTAAAAAGCACAATAAAAACTGACTTCTTGGTCAAACCCATGAGCTGTAGCTAAAGGCACTGCAGTGAGCTTTGCATAACAAAGTGCAACAATGCCCTCAAAACGTTTCTTGTTTTCTCACAAACATTAGGAAGCAAAAGTAACTTAAAGTTACTGCACATTTTTCACTTAACTGCAAGCCAGCAATGTGGGGTTTCTTTCTTCAGTTTTTTCTTATTTGCAGTTTCTGAACAATTTTTAAATAGAGCTTTAGGCCATCATGTACAAGTTGAAGTCTGTTCTTTCTTACCTTTTGTGAACCCCTTAAAAGCAATCCACGGATCACCATTCACTTAAATCTATTATCCTACACTTGTTTTGATCAACAGTTAAAGCAATACTTGCATGAACAGGACAAGTAAGGACCACAACTTACATGAAGCTGTCCCACATTCAAAGCATTTCTAACAGTCTCTGAAGCAAGGCTTTTCAGGTTGCTAGTAGGTATGTACATAAAAGGGAATAAACCAGTGTGGATTCCTGGAGATCACCCTGGCCAGAAGCAGCCTTGCTGACATACCAGTTTACACTGCCCCACACCCATTTGCTAATCCTACTTACTCCATGGTCCCACCATCTCTAGTCTCTCATCTATTCTCTACTGAGACTCTAAAAAAGGAATACTTACCTGTTCCATTATCTTGATCAGATCTTCTTTAACTGCCTTTAGAGGAAGTCAGCTCCTCTCCCCTTTGCCCTCACAAAGAGATGGGAGGCCCTATATCAGTATTTCCTTCACTACAACTCACACTACTTCTGTGAAGCAGCCTCATTAGCTACATACAAAACTCTAACTATTCTATGTTAACACATAAGTTATTGTTATTGCTAAGCACTCTCTGGCATCCTTTCCTCCACAAAGAAGGCAGGTGATCTCTTCAAAGCAGCAGTCAACTCCCCATTTACATACAGAGAATCCAGTATCATTAGTGTTTAAATACATATACATTGAAGTTCAGTGCAGCCTAGAAGATAGTCTCAGTATGATGAGCTAGCACTTGACAATTCTGCCAAAATTGCTTATGCTGTAAATGCTCTAAGCAAACTCTTTACCTCTCTGTTCATAATGTAAGTTGTTCATGGGTCACCAAGAGGTGATTTGTGGCCAACATAACCAGTCTAGCAAGCGTTTACATTGCAAACAATTATGCAAAAAAAATCACAGTATAGTTTAGATCCACTTCCCACTCCCTCTCTTCCCCACTTAAATAAAGAAAAAGCTGTCTTGACAAAGGCAAACTCATCTTGCCAGCATGAACTGCACCCACATTCAGGAAAGGTTTATTAGCACATCATACAGGATGGCTTAAAGCATCTCCACAGCAGTCGACACAATGAAGCCTGAACGTTAGTTTGGACTCCCAGTGTCATTTCCATCATAGAACAGTTCTTTTCCTCTCAGAGGCTGTAGAGAAACAGCAGCACAGGATGGTTAAGTATAACCTTTTAAAGACTGACGTGGGAGATGACATATTGGACCTGTTGTTTTCTTGTATTTTTCTTAGTTACAGTAAGTTTTGCCAGATTCCCTCTATCATGTCCTTAACATAAGTTACCTGCTTAAGGAGTTAATTACAATAAGCATTTTGTTTTGGGTTGGGGTTTTTTTTTTGGCCAAGTGGTCATTTGGGTTCAAATGTTGAAGTTGAAGACGTTTTTAAGCAAGTCTAAAGCCTGCTCTGATTAAAGTTCTCAATAAAATTTTATCCAAGTATCAGACACTTTAGATTCTTACGTTTTAGGTGATAATGAGCTCACCATCCATTTGATCCTTGAATAGGTTTTCAAAGACTTAAGTGTACTAAAAGTTCGGAGTACATCAATATTGAGCAATTTCAGGTAGCCTTGTGACACCAAGAATTCATTTGATAGATCCCGGTGAAGAGAGCACAACTAAAACAATTGCACAGAAATGCCGTTAAGCTACTAAAACACTATGTTTGAAAGACTGTAGGTTTTTAATGATGTGAAAATCCTTAGCTATGACACTAAGTTCAGCAAAGTTCTTGGGTATGGTCACTGCTCCCATTCAAGAGTTAAAGCAGTTTCACAATGCTGCTATCAGAAGAAAAATATTTTTATGATATGTACTTGTATAGCTCTGTTTAGTACACTGGCCTGGTAATTGTTATTGAATCATAGAATAGTTAGGGTTGGAAAGGACCTTAAGATCATCAAGTTCCAACACCCCTGCCATGGGCAGGGACACCTCCCACGGCTTTGTCCAACCTGGCCTTGAACACCACCAGTGATGGAGCATTCACAGCTTCCCTGGGCAACCCCTTCCAGTGCCTCACCACCCTTACAGTAAATAACTTTCTGCTTATATCCAATCTAAACTTCACCTGTTTAAATTTAAATGTTACCCCTTGTCCTATCATTACAGTCCCTAATGAAGAGTCCCTCCCCAGCATCCTTAATTGGCAGAAACTAACACCAAACAGAGTGATTATTCTTTTTCCCTATGAGGTTCTTCTCACAAGTGCTTACCTTTATTATTTCTTCTCCTGCTACTAGAGGTGTTAAGAATTGCTTTTCTCAGGAACAGAAAATAATCCTCCACTGTTTTTCTAGTCATTCCTCAAGGAAACAAAATATGCTCCTTAACAGCTACTGTAAGCATTTTCATACATTTATTTCTGGTCCAATATGAATTTAAAAGTACAATTTCACTATCATTGACTTTAGAGGAACAAACACAAGTGGTTCTAAAGTGTTGTTGTTTTTTTTTTTTAAGCTGTCATTTTCTACAGTTATGCCTTCATTTGTCAGCTTTCAACAAGCTCCTGCCTAATGTATTTTTAATTACAACTACTTATTTACATTTCGTAACAGATAACACACTTTTGGTTCTCAGGAGCAGACACAAGCCCTAGCTTTACATATTCCACGTGGTCATTTTAAGCAGGACTACACACAAACCCACCTTTGAAGCATTAGAAGCAGGCTCCAAAGCAACCCTGTAAAGAAACCTTCCTTACTGCTTGGGTCTTGCCACCTAATTTATTAAGTAATTTCTGTGAAAGAAAAAGAGCGCAGCTGACTTCAGCCAGTGGCCTAAAAGCAAAAAAACGATTAAGCACCAATATGACAAACATAATAAAGCAGGAAAAGCTTCAACCATCTTGCTTGCCCAAGGCTGGTAGTACACTGCTGTATTATCAAAAGGTAACACTAACCAAAGAATAGATGGATTCCCTGAGTGAAAAAGTTGTTAATAACCAGTGAAGAAATAAAACAGTTAGTATACACAAACCGAAGTAGGCCAGTACCCCCTGCCCAAGGCGTCCCACGGCTGACCCCCACTCAAGGCCTGTTACCCGGCACACAGAGAGGCAGTACCACCTGCCTCCTTCAGCAAACACGGCCTCAGAGGTATGCGAGCACTCAGGGCCCGCCACATTCTCTCTGCTGCCGGCCGGCTACCCGCGGAGGTCCCGGCGGCACTCGTGGTGCGGAGCGGCCCGTGACAGGCACCCAAGCCACCCTCACAGAGCCCGCTCCCGCCGCCTGCCGGCCCGCCCCCTTGGCCTCAGGCGGATCCGGCGGCACGGGGCCCTACCAGGCCCAGGCCCAGGCCCCGCTGCCAGCTTCCCGCGGCTTCGCCTCACGCCCCCAGTAGACGCCACCATCGCAGCCCGCCTCACCCCACACGGCACAACCCCCCCGCGCCCTCCGCCCCTCCGCTTATATCCCGCTCCGCCACCCCACCCCGCTCCGCGCCGCTCGCCCGCCCCTCCCCACCCCGCTCCCTATAGAAGAGGTGCGGCGATTGGCTGCGCAACCGCGGGCCGGCTGTGTGGGAAGCGGTGATTGGCGGAGTGCGGCCACCAGCGTCTGCCTCCCTGTGAGTGTGTGTCTCTGGCAGTGTCAATGGCTCCTCCTGCCACGGAGCAGCGACGGGCTTGAGACGGGCAGGACCGCGGGGCTCCTTTAAGAGAGGGATTTTCGGGGGGGCTGGGGACGGGGGCCGCGGCGCGATCGTCCCCCACAGCCTGCGCTCGGGAGAGCCAGAGGCCGGCGGCTCTTCTGCCTCTAGAGCGAGCCGGCGAGGAGGCGGCAGCGGCGGGACCCGCGCCTGGAGACTCCCCCCCCCCTCCTTCCCTACTGCCCGCTGCTGTGAGGCGTCCGCCCCGGGGCTTCCTCCTTTCCCCCCTGTCCCCGACAAGGCACCGGTTGCCGGAGGATTCCCCCCCTCCCCTCCCGCCACCCACACGAGTCGGCAAATGAACTCGGTCCGAGCCGCCAACAGGAGACCCAGGCGAGTGTCCAGGCCGCGCCCGGTGCAGCAGCAGCAGGAGAGGAACAACGCCGCCGCCGCCGCCGGGGATCGGGGTAAGTCAGGCGCCGCCGCGCCGAGCGGGGGCCTACGCGGGGTCTGCTGGCGGCGCGGGTCCCCGCCGCGCCCGGCCGGGCACCGGCAGGAAAAGGCCAGGCTGCTTCACCCCCTGGCTCCCGCTCAGGCCGCGCTTTGTTTGGCTTGGGCTCTACCCCGACTCGGGGCCGCCGGGCCCTGCCGCCGAGCGGGAGGGAGGCGGGGGCTCGGCCCCTTCCCTGTCCCTGCTCCCACGCCTGCTGGAGGGAGGGAGCTGATCGCCACCGGCCCCCTCGGGAGCGGAGCGGGGCGAGCGACCCCCACCCCGCCCCGAACTCCCCGCCCCGTCCCCGGGGGCTGCGGGGAAGCTAGCCGGTGCCTCCCTGGGGGAGCGGCAAACTGGGCCCCGGGGTCGGTGGAGGGGAGAGAAGGAGGGGGGAAGGCACGGGGGGGGGAGCGGCGCCCGAGGGTCTGCGGGGCTGGGGAGGGGGGTGCAGCTTGCGCCTGCACCTTCTTCACTGCTGTCGGCGTAATGGTGTCCGGGGGCGGCGGCCCGGGTCTCGCCGGGCCCCGTGGCCCGCCGCGCCGCGCAATGTTTGCTGCGCAGTTCGGCGCCCGGGCTTTGGTTACAGCGCCCGGCGGGGGGGCGCAGGCCGCGGCTGATCGGCCATTTATTTAGCTCAGCAACCGCCCCCGTCTCCCCCCGCCACGGCAGCCGGCGGCCCCGGGCCGGCCTGAACGGAGCGGGGGGCTGCGGCCCCCAGCGCCTCAGCGCTTCCCGCCGGGTCCGCCCGCGCCGGTGGGGCTGGGGCCTAGCGTAAAAATGTTGACAATTCGGAGCTAATGGGGGAAAAGCACCATTGTCTGAGGGCATGAGGAAGCGGCGAGGTGCGATCCCTCCCCGAATGGAGCCCGGGTTGCCAGTGCTGGGGTACGGGGGGGTGGTACGCAGAGGCTGGCGGCCCCTCAGCCCTGGCTCCGATGGCTCTCGGGGGTGCGATGTGCGTGTGCTCCCTCTTGTACAGGGCTGGCTTTTTTCTTTCCTTTTTTTTTTTTTTGAAGGCGAGATGGGGGTGGGATTGGAGGAGACATTTTGCATGTCTTATCTGGTGGATTGGATTTTAATTTTTCATGCATTCGCTGTCACAACTCTGGCATGATAAAGGAGACTGATCCGTGGTGCAGTTTTAAGATGTACAAATGTCTTTTTAAAATCAAAGAAAAAGAAAAGGAAAAAAAAAAAAACCCGCCTTCATTGTCATCTGAATGTCTTTTGTTTGAGTATCTAGGATATCACATCGAGAATGAGGTATTTTAACTACGGAGATGCATCGTGACAAACGTTTTAGTGCGTTTTAAGCCATCAAAACATTTAAAGTGAACGAAGTAAATTTAATCTGGGAAAGTATTTTTAATTCTCCATTCCTCCTGCCCCCCCCCCGTCCCCTCCCTCCTCCCTTCCTTCCCCCCCCCCCCATTGGTCAGAGCAAAGAATGTTACCCAGACCAGATTGCTGTGTATATAACCAGAGGATGTGATGTCTTATGCCCAATTATGGGTCTTGTGTAAACCTTCAAAAATCTTAAGTAATTATATAATTAAAATGACTTCTCTGGTATATTGACATTTAAAAATTAAATTAAAAAAAAAACAAAACACCAAAACCCACAAGAAAAATAAAACCCCAAAAGAACTTCCTCCTCTCAATGACATGCACTGAGCATTTTCATCATCAGTGTTCCATATACAGAATATAGACACTCTTTTCAACCCCCCAGTTTACTTTTAAACAGATGAAAATATAACTTCTAAAAGGCATCCGGAAAGGTGTGCTTATGGATTAAATGCTATGATTATTCAGTTTTACATTGGATGGCTTGTCTCAAGCTGTTCATGTTATTAATTTGCTAAAGATACAGGCAGAAACTTTTTTTTTCCTCTTAAAATATGAGGCTGCAATTTATTTGTATTATTCTGGTGCTTTGTGGAACTCTATATTAATCTGATTTTATGTTATTTTTACATTGATCATTGCCATCTACCAAAATATGACAAAATGTTATTACAAAATCAAGTTCCACAGATTGCAGGAATTACGGATGTTTTTTCTTGTGTTTTGAAGGTCAGTTGCATTAGGTCTGACTTGCTCAGAAGCGTATCAAACAACACGAGGATCTTTTGCCATTAGCATTACATCTGCATTTGGGGTGTCTCTAGTGCAGTTCCTGTTCCTGGCTCAGAACTTCCAAGGTCTAATCCACTACATCTGGAAGCTAGTGCCAGTTTTACCTGTGACTTTGAGTGCTTTGTGCAGGGCTGTTACTGTAAAGGATGATGAATAATGCCACTAAATTATAAACTGATATATTAGGGTTAGACTGTACCACACAAGTTAGTGGTGACTTTTTTCACCTTTATTCCCAAGCAATGTAGGTCATCTTAAAATAAGGCTGCACAAAAATGCAGTGTAAGTTACTAGGAAATGGTTTCAATTAAGCTCAGATTTAAATCTGTTAAAAAAAAAAGTTACTAGATGATGTGAGTGCAGCTGTGATTAAATGAAGAAAAAATATTACTTATTATGAATTTCTTTCCTCCTTCATATTACAGCACAGCACTTATAAGTACAGATGTCACTGAATGGAATTGATAACGTAGGACATAGTTAATCTTTGGAACTTCTTGTTGTTTCATATCATGGAAGTAGATTGCTTAGTATAAGGTGTGCTAGGTCTTGAAGTTTATTTATTATTTAATGCTGCCTAAATACAGTGTTTTGCAACTGTGTAACAGCTGTTATGTTTTCACCACTGAGTAAAAATTGAGTTATGACTTCTGTTATTAATAAATAGATCACTGGGAAAAAAATGGTTTTATAGAAGTCATGAAAGGGCTTAAGTGTTCCTTGTAAGGGTTTTAAGCATACAAAGCTGTGATTTATACTGTCAAGCAATTCTCATTTTAATGTATTTTACATATGTAGTATGAGAAGATCTCATGAATGTATAATCATGGTATCTATATTATACATTGATAAACAGTGATTGTGTCCCTGTGATTGCAGATAACAAATTTTTCTCCCCCAAAACTCACTGTGTTGTACAGGCAAGATGAGATGTCATCGGGATATACTTCCCAAGATGTTTTGCCTTATGTTCTGCTGTTCACACCTCCCTCCATCTAAATTAGCCACTAAGTACACTATGCCATTTCTGTTTTACCTTCTCCCTCCCTGATCTCTCTCCTGGTCACCAATGGAGTTGGCAGTGGGTTGTTCTGTGGTTTTGGAATTCTGCATGAAGGTTGCAGAATAGATAGGTCCTTTCATTTTCTTCGGGACAATGGTCTACCCAAAAGAAATCTAGCTTGTGTGATGTCTGTGTTTAAATATTCCTGTGTTTGCTTATAGTGCTATTTTATTTTTTCCCTTGAGCATCCAGGTTTGGCTACGGCTTTAGGAAGAAGACAAGGTTAGGCAGTTATTTAAATAAATAAATAAATAAAAATCTTGTCCAGAGTGCAGCTAAAACTGTCAACCTCGGAGCTGTCACACACGATTTTATTTTTCTTTTTGTTCCTGTTCTCAAAATAAGAACTACATAAGTGCCTGTGTGCTGCTTTTTAACATCAGAACATTACTGGATAGGCTACTAATGAGGTTCCGCACTTTATGTCCAGTATTAAGTGCTTTTAGGATGGGATCCTGTGTAGTGTTAAGTACCAAATGTATAGCACCATGGCAGCTGCGTTTGTCACAATCCCGTGCTTTCCTTTTACGTGGTGTCCATGTGACAAGGCAGGGAACTGGCTCCCAAGCTGCCTGTGCCAAACACTAGCTGCTTGCCTTTTTTTTTTTTTCCCCCAGGTTGATTTTTGGACAAGTGCCGGTTACAATGGGAGGGATAACACTGAATGCCTGTGGGTGTGGTGGGATTGGCAGCTCCAGTTTAGATTTGGGTTAAGTTGGGTCAATACTTTTGGAGTTGGGAGTGTATTTAATACATACAGCCTATAAACCTACCTTGCAAGTCTGTTTTTCCCCTCTAGTCTGTCTTCCAAAGAAAACAAGACTTACACTGTCTGTCACTCTGCAGCCTCTGAACTCTCTATCCCATTTCAACCCCATTTGACAAAGGGGTGTGAAGTTTTTAAGTTTTGTGGAAATTAGTGGCAGGGCATAGGAAGAAGACAATGAGAGAAAGACATTTCTAACTTACACTCTATATCCATGCCAAGAAACAGAGACCAGCTGGCCTGTCAGCACACAAGGTAATTGAATTAGTCATTTGTCTGTAGAGGGCTCCAAGTACTGAGAGAAAGAGTAGGTTAGGCTGTGTAAGACAAAAACATGTAGAAACTAAGCTCAAGT